TGATAGTTTAAGGTAATTTCTTATTGCATGGCAGAGGAGGTTTTTGCTCAAGATTTCACTCTAGATGGCCTCATTCATTGCTACCCCGATGCGATGCAGTTGTCCTGTGCCCTTGGCAGAGAAACGGCCCCAAAACATAATGGTTCCACCTCCGTGCTTGACTGTGGGGATGGTGTTCTTGGGGTCATATTCAGCATTCATTTCTCTCCAAACACGTTGAGTCGACTTGATGCCAAAGAGTCAGTTTTTGCACTACGAGAGATCTTGCGTGAAGCTCCAGAGTGAGGGCGACTGATTGTTTTTGTGTCTTTCTTCTATTTGTGAACGATTGCACAGACATTTGCGACCTTCTCAGCAAGTTGCTTGCCGATGGTCTTGTAGCCTTCTCCAGCCTTGTGAAGCTCTACCATCTTGTCTCTAATAGCTCTTTGGTCTCGCCTATGCTCCATTTTAGTTGTGGTGGTTTACAAAGGCACAATGCCCAAAACTGTCACTGTCCAAATACAAGTACAAGGACCTGACTGTATGTCTACTGGATTGTATGAGATGACACAAGTGTTGCTAATAAAGAACTTGGTGAGTGTAATGTATGATATGTACTTTTGTCGTTATGCAGCCTGACTAATGGCTACAGTTGCATCAGTCCATGAATCGAAGAGTCTTTGTCACTGTTTCAGTTTTGAAGTCGTATCTGCACATCCGCCTTAAAAATCTGACTGGTGACACTTTTTTGTCTTCATGACTTTCTGTAGGATTAATACAAGCAGCTCTAGCAGCCGTTACTAAGGTTGACACGACTCATAGTCGTCCTTCAATCTTAGTAGGTACAGTAGCTCCAGTATAACTCTATGGGGAAGTAGTAACATTATATGTAGATTGCTCTTGGTTGTAAATAAAGTGTTGTAATGTTCTGCACATTTTGTACAAGTTCTTTCAACAGGAGTTTCGAGGAGACTTTTCATTTCAGATGGAATTTAAATGTTGAAATTAAACTAAACCTGTGTGCGTGCAGACTGTGTTCTGTTCATAGGAAAGTAAATCACACGTTGTGCAGATAATGTCCTGTTAGT